AAAAGTGACCATGGTGCGCAATTGATAATTATCACCGAATGAAATAATGTATAAAACTTAAACCAAAGGAAAGTTAAAAAATCGTAGGTACTTAAAAATCAGATTTAATTTAATAAGATAATTATTACCAAAAAAATCGAACAAAATTATTTTTATTTATTACAGCGCCATCTATTACAAATATGAAAAAATGTTTTAGACAAAATATACCTATTTTTAGTTTTAGGGTGTTCCATTGGAAATTTTGAAGTTACCCCCTGAGTATTTTATTTTAAACATTTTTTCGTAAAATGCCTACTAACTGAATATAAAGGATGAAGAAATTCTAACTATGCTATGTAAATACGCCCATAATTTAAACTTTTACTTTTATCTATCTCTAATAACAATTCCGAAAAGGTTAGAGGTGAAATCATCACTGACCCTTCATAAAATTATGCATATTACCAAATTATTTAACATAAAATTTTATTGACTTTCAATTTCTACAACTTTCTTTGACGATTTAAATTTGCGAGAAAGCCGATAAATTATTATTGTTGTTTAAGTATACAGTATATTGTTCCTAATTTTAAAAAGTTACCGCATAAATTTGCAATTCATCAGGATTTGGAATTCCAATTTGGAAATAAGAAAATCAACTTTAATTACAGTAGCCACTAATTTCGATTCATTAATAATACGTAAACAAATTAAATTTTTGACTGGAAAGTTGAAAAAAATTGTTTTTAATTTTGTTTTGATTTTTTCATTTTAAATATATTAAAAAAGATACAATCCTCGATTCGAATACTAAACTTAAATTCAATGTATTACATCGTATACATAAAATAAATAATATACCGGGTGTAGGGTATAAGCTTTTTTCTACTGGAGACATGTGTCCTAAAGGGCTTAAATTTATTGCTACAGGGTTTTGAAAAAGTAATTTTGAAAATGTTATTTTTTTAAATTTCTGCAAAAGAACTGGATATTATTTTTAATTTTGGTGTGGATTGGTAGGATTTAAAAGTACATATTTTAGTTGCAAAAGTTATTTTATTGCTTTACCAGGGGCGTCTTATTTATATATGCCGTTGTTTTAAAAATTTTAGTTTTTTTCTTATTATCATATAAAAAGGATAGTTTGTTTGTTCAAACTTTATTTACGTTTACTTAAAAATAAGAATATTTCGATTTTTAATAATAGTTTTATAAAAACATGCAAAAAGTATAGTAATTGGACATTTTATATAGTAATTGGACACATGGACCATAGTTATTGGACATACAATTTTTATATAAACATAACAACTTTACATCAAATAACATAAATTCTTAAATATTTTTTAAAGAAAAATTGCTGTTTTAGGTAATTTTTTTTATTTCGTTTTTGTAAATATCATATAATTCATATATTTCTTTCTCGGATTGCTTATCCCTTTTCTGATTTCTGAAGGTAACTACTAATTCCTTGGTCTGACTTCTGAAATAGTTTGTTGCATTTATCATTAAGTGTGGTATCTCTAGTTTGTGACGCATGATGGATGATTTATATATATATCTAATATTTTTTCGGGTGGTATGTTAAAAGTATTTTCCGAATTTATTAATTTTGCTGCCATTCGTTTTTTATGCTATGTATATAAATCACTGTTATTCTGCAAGATGTTCTGTGACGAAGAAATCACTATATTACTTACTTTCTAAAATTGAATTAGTCAAAAATGTCATAGTGAAAAAGCAGCCACTAATAATTATCGTCAACAGCAATTTATATCCAGGACATTTAGCAGTCAATATAATCAATTTAACATATAATATGGAATTGACTATATCTCAAAAACTGCTTAACTTTTATAGTTTTTGACCGTCTTTTCGGATTCAGGGGACAATTTTACATAAGTATTGGCTGGTAAATGTCCGGGATACAAATTGAGTATGATATTGGACATAATCCAATAATAGAAATTTACATTTTTTGCCAACCAGTTATTGGACACTGGTCATTTTACTGTTTGTTTTCAGAATTAAAATTAAAACGCAATAAAGTGACAATGTTTAAACCATTAGGAACACATTTATACCACACACACATACTTTACGTATTTTATGTAAAAAAATGTTATCCAAAATTTTGTGTTACCGGATGTTACAAAAATTCGGACGTTGGTTTTACAATTTGTTCTGCTAATAGGAATAAAAAGTAAATTATATATAAATTTTGTTGAAATATTGCAAAATTACTTCAAACATTAAATTAGTCTCGCATTATTACTTTTGTTCAAATTTTTAAATTTGTGAAACACAATAAAATAAAAGCACCAAAATTGAGTAGATATAATGTAACTCTTATAAGACCGCTGCAAACCATTAAAATAAAGGAAGTGTAATTCTATAAATTTCGTAATCGGGCTATTATTTAAATAGGCCATTATTATACTTAAACAATCCAATTGTATTTGCATAGCGAATTTCGAAACTGTCTGAGCATTTTCTTATTTTTATTGGGCTGTTTACTTTCTTTTATATTATGTTTAATTTAAAGTAAAAAAACATGCAAGATCGTTTCTATTATAATATATGAAGAATTAATAACGAACTGCGTGCTTTTTACATAACAAAAAACAAATTAAATAATTATACTGTTAATTGGTCTTGAATAAATATTGCTAAATATAGATTATTGCTTTTAATTAAAAAGTTTTATTGATTATCTCCTGGGCTGTAAAAATAATTTGGAGTCCAAATTTTGGACCAACCAAGTTAAAAACCTTGTTGGGACCAATAAAAAAATTTGAATAATTGCTGATAGCTCTGAAGCTGTCTAACCTTACTTTCTAGTTAACTTTTTTCTTAGAGGTAATTTGAAGAGCAAAGTCTACGCAAACGATCATAAAGGCTTCCACAGTTACTTTTTCACTGTAAAAAACTGGTTTTATATTTTATTTGACATTTTCAGCCGGTGATACAGATTCCCATTCTTATACAGGGTGTATCGTGAAAACGGAAAAAGACATCGAATTGAAATTTTTATAGCAATTATAATATCATTTAAACTATTTTTCTAAATTATTTTAAACAAAATTCCTCTTCCGTTTTTAACATAAGCGATACCAACTTTGTTAATTTAAATGGATCATCACAATTTTCTACATTTTTTAAATACTTACTAACATTCCTTATAAAATGGCTATACAATGTCCTATACCTAAACCTTTTTGAGTTATTAATTTTTTTTTAAATTCAGTCAGTTTCACCCTCAACAAAAAAAGCTTATAACTTTTTTAATATTAGGTTTGCTGATATTCGGTTGGATTTATTGGAATCCTTAAGCATTGTTTTAAAGATTTCATGTAATTTATTGTAATATTTCTAAAAAGATAATTCGTAAAAACAATGTGAATGTAGCTAACTTAAAACAGCAATAACTTTTTTATTTTCGATGGTACGCCCTGTATATTTTTTCATAATTAAATGTGAAATTATAATACCTTTTTATTGATATAACTATTCCTAACTAGGTATGTGTATAAACGGTTTGATTGAACGCCCGGTACCTTCATTAAAAAGGTATATTATTATTTACTAATAAGGTTAGTAGAAATTCATTAAATGAATAAGATCTTATTCAAATAGTGTTTTTAATTAACAAAAATTGTTAATAAAATAGTTAAAATGGAGGAAAATCACTATTCAAATGAAGTTTTGATGAATTTGTTTATTCTTCATGACAAATTTATTGCTAGGACATGCAGAAACTTTTTGTATGTTGTACCTTTAATTTAGTTAGCCATTAAGAATAAATATTTTCATCAACGTCTTTAGTTATTTTCCTTTATTTTAATAGTAATATTTTGTACATAAAGTTTTGTATTATAATTTCATATTTAATTACGTAAAAATATACAGGGCGTTCCATCGAGAATAAAAAAGTTATTGATGTTTTAAATTAGCTAGGTACATTTACATTTTTTTTTTCAACTAACTTTTTAAAAATATTATAATAATTTACATGGAATACTTAAAACATTGCTTTAGGATTTTAATAAATCCAACCGAATATCAGCAAATTTAAAAAAGTTATAAGCTTTTTTTGTTCAGGGTAAAACTGACTAAATTTTACAAAAAAATGAATAACTAAAAAACTATTAAGTTTAGGTATGGGACATGATATAGCCATTTTATAAGAAATGATGGTAAAAATTTAAAATTGTAAAAAAATTGTGGTGATCCATTTAAAATAACAAAGTTGATATCGCTTCCGTTAAAACCGGAAGAGGTATTTTGTTCAAAATAATTTAGAAAAATAGTTTAAATGATATTATAATTGCTATACAAATTTCAATTCGATATCTTTTGCCGTTTTCCATAAACGTCTAACCTACCATCGACCGTGATACACCTTGTATAGTGTCGCTATAAAAATTTACATCATTTTTAGAAAAAGTAAAATTCGTGATTAAAATGGCGTTTATCAAACTACTATTTATTGTATAATAATATATTTTTTTAAATAAAATAACAAATATTTAAATATAATTTGTATTTATCTATACTATACATAAAGTACATATGACCCACATTAAAAGAAACTAGGAAACAACGTACTGGTACATGTATTGATGATTTTACTAGATAATACTTATTATGCAAGAATAGGAAAAAGTAATTAAGCTACGATTACTACGCCATTGCGTAACATGATGTAATTCATTAGATTTTAAATATTGGTTTTTAAAGATACTTCTAATGATAAGATTAATATTTTTCTTGGTTTAATTAATTGTATGTCTGGTTAAACTAGACTAGCTCGTGTACAGGGGCGTAGGCACTGGGGGTGAGGGTTTGAACCCCTTCCAAAATGTGAGAAACAGTTGTGTTTTGAGATTTTTTTTTTAAATCTTAACAAGCTTACATATGATATTTATAGTTTCATTTTACTTAAAAAAATCTAAAACAATATTTCAAGAGTTTGAAACAAAACATTTTAGTAATTAAAAAAAAAAATTTTAACTTGCCTAGATGATCCTATTCTAATATATGCTTGCCAGGGGAATGTTCCAAAGCCAGCTTCTTCACCGCCCACTATGCGTCTCTGGGCTTGCTGTCTTGGAGTAGATATACCACAACCTAAAACAATTTTAAAAAATTCAGTTTTAAATTTAATGTATTCTATGAGCACAATGTTCTGTCATGGTTAAATGGTAAATGCAGTGTACATATATCACGTTAATATGTTGCTATATTTTATCTTATTTTATGTAGGTATTTTTAGATAGTTATCTTATTTTTTATCTATACTTTTGCAAAAAAATATTAAATTTGTGAATTTTTTGTATTTTTAAAATAGTAATAAATAAATTAGGATTATTAATCGCATTAAAGCAATCTTTAAAATATTTATAAATGCATGGTATAACATAAAGTTTGTAAAAAAATTAAACGGTGAATTATGGGTGTTATTTTTTTTAATAACTTTCAAATACTAGATACAAAAATTAGCTATTGTTTTATTTGACAATGCCCTTTAAATTGCCTATTCATTTTTAAAACATGGATCATGGACTACTCGATTATATTCCTGTAATCTTTATTTGCCTGTATAGGCTATAAAAAAAGGTTTAACTACGGGGCATTCCACGATACTTTTTTTCTCTAGACCAACACAATTAAAAATTATTATTATTACACATTATTAAATTTATTTTAAGTTCCTCAAAGTCGTTTAAATTATACAAAAATTGCGTAATTACAATTCAATTAAAATGGCATTTAAAAATTGGGGGAAAATCAGATATACCGGATGGGGTTGCCAATAGGAAAAACTTTTTTATTACGCATTTTACAGAAAAAAGTCATTTCTCATAAAAATCCCTGCTTAGTTAAAAAATGACATCCCCTTCAAAAAATTTTGAATCAAATGTACGGGGTGCTCAGAAATTAGAAAACATGAAAATTCTTCATGAGAGAAGTACCTAAAATTTTATAAAAGAAATTTGATTACAATTCAAATTAAAGTCTAAATACAAAATAAAAAAAACATTTTAATTTTATAATTTTTTTTTTCGTAATATTTTCATGTTTTTTTTTTGTTTTGTATTTAGAATTTAATTTAATTTAATTTGAAGTTTCATGGACCTTCGCATATAAAGTTTTGAATAAAATAAAATAATTTGTTTATAAAAATAAGATAAAATTTTTTAATAAAAAAATTAAATTTTTAAATATAAAATATATTTTGTATTTAGACTTTAATTTGTATTGTAATCGACTTTCTTTTATAAAATTTTTCAATAAAATAGTTCATAAAGGTACTTCTCTCGTGAAGAATTTTCATGTTTTTCTAATTTCTGAGCACCCCGTACATTTGATTGAAATTTTTTTGATGGGGATGTCATTTTTTAAATAAGCAGGGATTTTTATGAGGAATGACTTTTTTCTGAAAAACGCGTAATAAAATAGTTATTTGTTTTACAAGACTTGTAAAAGCGACTTTTTCATGCGAGTTTTTAAGTTGCCCACGAGGCCGTTAGGCCGAGTGTGCATTAACACGAGCTTGAAGAAAGCTTTTCTCACAAGTATAACACAATGTTTTTTCTGCGACCCTTTTATTTTTTATTATTTTTAAATACAAAACAAAATAACCTAAAAACTTTTTTGACAGCTAAATGTCAAACGATGCTTTCCGGTTCTTTTCACACAGACCTGTCACTTTTCACACAGAAATGTCACTTTACATTCGTGTTTTGCCTTGCCAATGAAAAGATTCATTTTCTAAGCAACGATGCCATCATGAAAAGTGACTTTTACATAGTGGTCGTAGAAAAAAGTTTTTTCCTATTGGCAACCCCATCCGGGGACATACTGTATAATTAAAAAAACTGAAAGGTGGCAAAATAAAAAATCATCAAATCAAAACTTCGTTAATTCTGGAACGTACAAAAAAGTAAATTTTACATGTACCCTCTAAAAATAAATTAGTCAAAAATTACTAATTGGCGGCTGGTGGATATTGGGTATACCAATATTTCAGTTATTAGACATGGGACCCACACCAAATTTATAATAGTTTATAATGACATTAAATAGACAAGTTCGGCGCAAACAGAATTTAAATTGAAGTTTGCGAAAAATAGTTAGTTTTTCTTGTTGCCTCACCCGCCTCCAGGCTCCCCTATTTAAGATAATTAAAATTAAATTGGTGCAATTTATTATCTACTATAATTTATCGACAAATTTAAACAAATATTACAGGTTTTATACCATTTTAAATATTTTTTTATTTTAATTAAATAAATATTAAAAAATTAAAATTGAATAAAATCTGTAATATTTGGATTTTTTAAATAAAATTTTAAATTTGTCGATAAATTATAGTAGATAATAAATTGCACCAGTTTAATTTGAATTATCTCAAATAGGGGGGCCTGGAGGCGGGTGAGGCAACAGGAAAAACTAACTTTTTTTTCGCAAACTTCAATTTAAATTCTGTTTGCGCCGAACTTGTTTATTTAATGTCATTATAAACTATTATAAATTTGGTGTGGGTCCCATGTCTAATAACTGAGATATTGGTATACATAAAATAGCGAAAAAGCAGCCACTAATAATTCTGGTCAATAGCAATTTGTATCCCGAACATTTAGCAGTTATAACTTCTATAGAAGGTATACCAGAGCATTTCCAAATAAAGCAATTAATAAGATTGTCTTATCATTTAGTTATCAAAATAAAACTATTTTATCTTAAATCGGTCTTAAAAGTTATTGTTGTTAACACCCTACTAAAGTGATTGATTACAGCCTAGGCACTTAAAAATGATTTAGAGCAATCGGGTTAGGTTTTTACAGCTTAGGAAGTGAAAATGTATTAGGACTGTACGTATTTCTACTTTAGACCAATCAAAAAATTTAACCTGTTAGATTTACCTAACCAGGTATTAAAAGTATAAGTGAGGTCACTTCTACTTTTAATAAATAATATTGTAATTGTACGTTTTATGTACCGTTTAACAAATAAAATTGTGCAGCACAAAAACACTCATTTCTTAACCTACACAAATAAGCGTTTTTATAACTCCCTGTTACATGAAAAAAAAAAGTATTAAATTGTTATTTTTTACTAAACTAATATACCCAAATAGTTTTGTTGTAATAAAATTAAAAATATGAAATTATTTTAGTTTTTTTTTGTTGTATTTATGCACATAAACATAAAATTTAATACATTAATTTAATCACTCTATTCTTTAAGTGGCAAGTATTTTATTCGCTCATGCCTTTGTTTATAAATAGAAGTGTCTGTGATTATTGCAAGAATAACATTACTTTCTTTTTACTTTCGTTTATGGGTCAATTTTTAATTATTTATTCAGCAAGAGTAAATCGCATCGCCTCGCGCATAATTAAAACTATTACAATCACAATTAATTAATTAAATTATTTGGTATTCGTTTAAAAGGCATAACTTACATTTTCATTCAACACATAACTAATGTGAAACTTGTAAATGTAATAGTTAGTTTCGCAGATGTTTTGCTCATTACACGCGATTATTTCAATTATTACCATTATTAATTTATTTTGTTTATTGGTTACGGCCATCAATTAAACAAATTAGGTTTGAGTAATTAATTTATAAATTGCCAATTTTCCATCGTTTATATATTTTTGTAATTAAGTTTAATTGATAGGATTTTCACATTTTATCGTGCAATCCAGGGCACACCAATAAAACGATATGGGTGTAAGAATATTTATTTTTCTATTTAAATTTTACGACGTGTAGTGAAGCGTGAGCTTTTATAATTGATCCAGATTGATCGATTTGTACATGTCGACTTCGTTTTAATTTAAAATATAATAAAACCGCTTTTTATTATATTTACTATTAAAATTATATAAGGATTAAAATAATAATTTCGATCACATAGTGGACGCTCTGACTAAACACTTAAAGTATAGGGCGAAGAAAAAGGCCAACCAAAACTGATAGCATATTTTGATTATACACCCTTTTGGTAACACTAACATGTATTTATCAAAATCACAGCTGATCCTATTTTAAAGTTTTGCAAACTTTTTTGTTTTTCTATTTCTATATATTATTTTGCAATTATTGTACTAAAACTACCTGTACAATTTTAATAAAATTAAGCAAAATAATAAACTTTGTATCATTTAAATTACTTTACTCCCCAGTATTAATTTATTGAGTCACCTATTATTTTTTACCACTCAAAACAAAACATAACAAAAAAAACGAAGATTTATATCTTAAATATTTTTATAACAAAAAATACTGGAAGTTTGTCTATGAAATAATTACAACTTGCAAATTTTGTAAAACAATAAATTGGTTATGAAAAAAAATTGCTATACGTTATAACGCAAGTTACATTTTGCTTTAGTTGTTTATTTAATGTATACTTTATAAAGTTAAAAATAGTATTTTAAAATGAAAATTACACCGAAATTCATGTTAAGCCATGAAGAAAATCGAAAGAAGGTATGTGCTGGCTGTGGAGACAAAATTGTTTTTGGTAATCGAAAAATTAGGGTTTCTGAGAAAATATAAAAATTACTGCAGACTTTTTCAAACGAACACTTTAACTTAAGTGATTTAAAATTACCTACTTCAATATGGTAAAAACGGTATTTTTGCATAGCCACAATTGCCAAATTTTCAAAATTTAGAAATTGCTAGAGAATTTCGCGGCAGCCAAGAATGTATGTGCTTTATCTGCAAAATGGCAAGATATAAAGGGCATAAAAAATTATTAAGGAAAGAGGACGGACGAACGAACTAAAGTTTTGATATGCTCTTTCTTTCTAGGGGATATCGCTAGATGTAAGAAGCATGTTTGTACAGAGACTGAAGAATTTAAAAATACTGTTTCCACGTTAAAAACAATTCCATGTAAAACCCAAAACTGAAAAATTAAGACAAGCAGTAATCGATTTTGCTTCAAAGAATATTTAGTTATTTATTAGTTTTGTATTAGGTTCCTTAAAACAATAAATAAGATATTGCAAACTGTATTTTACAATATTTTGTATTTATAATGTAATTTATCCATATTTCATGTATCTGCCAAATTTTATAAAACTTTTGATAATGGTACTAGAGTA